TAATATTGTGCAACAGGAAGAAAAGCTCTAAAGGAGTAGGGGAAGTAGGAGGGGTAAGGGAAAGGAAAGAAGGGAAAAGAAAAAATCTGAGAAAAGGAAAATAATGGAAACAAAATCTCTGTAAATAGGGAAGGGTGGAGGGGGTGAAGGGAGGGCAGGAGAATAGGGAAAAAATAAGAACCAAGATAGGTTATGTAAAGGTACATGTTCCCAATGATGAATGTAACTGTGTTGTATACCTAAAATGTACCAATAAATTTAATGGAAAATAAATAAATTCTCAATTCTTTAGATATAGGTATATTAATCAGTTAGGAAAATTAGCAAACCGAGTTTTATTATCCTTAATTTTACTTAAGCTGTCATGTCTACAGAAGTATTGTAGGCCACACCTTGCTACTCCACACCATGCCATGCTCTTCTGGAACATGCAGCTATTGGGATCCTCCTGGGATTGTAAACTCAGCTTCAGTAATGCATTAAACAGGCGGAGTTTAAAATAAAAGAAGATAATTTATTTGAAAAATGATGAAAAAGAAAGATGATAGACAGTTACCTTGACAAAGTAGGGGGCATCAGAGGTGAATACCTATGGAGTTTTGTTCTCAGCTCCTTTTTATTTAGGGGGATTCCCCTCCGCCCCCATATAGGTACCTGGAAGTTTTCAACATCTGATTGGCTCTCTGGCTCTCTTTGATCCTAAACTGAGCACCTCTATGTACATTCCTTCTGGCCAATTGATTTCTTCCTGTCCCTATGTGATGGATAAGTGTGTGTGGGAGAGCCTTATAGAAAGGTAACTTAAAGCTAATGATTAAGTAAAGACGACTTGCGTGTTTTGTATATTAAGTAAGAGTCCTTAGGTGCCTGGTCTTTATCTCATTTGCATTGTGGGGTGAGGGGCCCCTGATTATCCTGGCCTTTCACATTCCTGGCTACCTCCCTGTTTTGCCTGTTGACTTTTCTGGAACCTTTCCATGTCTGGTTTCTCTCGCTCTTTACCTTTTTTTTCTAATTGCTGGAGTCTAACTGCAGAGGCAAAAGCTGCTTTAGTGAGGTTTTCTATTAATTTCTTTAATCAAGCTTAATGAGACCCTATTTTATCCTTTTTCCTGTCTATGACCTCTTGTCCCTACATAGCCTATCTTACCCCTTTCAAGACTGAGGACACTAAGATAAGAAAAACTAAATTAATTTTCAGGATTTACAGCGATATCAATTACCAGCTTTTATAGCACCCAGTTCTAGATTCCTGCCTCAGAGTGAGACCTAGAAGTCTCCAGCCATTATCTGGAATCTATGATCTCTTAGACCCAAGAAGCAGAATCTGAGAATGAATCTGACTGAGACTGTGACACACAAAAAAATCAGCGGAACTGTCCTTCATACCATAAAGATTCCTTCATAGCTGTGGAAACCAAAACTGAAATAATGATTGAAGACCTTGGCCCCCTTCAGCTAATCCTGAAAATTTGGCCTCCTGCTTTTGTGAGCAGGTTTGAGGCAGGAGACTTGGGTGTAGCTAAGACTAACTGGGAAAGTAGGCGTGATCTGTTAATTACAAAATCTAAGAACACATGCGCTCAGTGCATGGACTTTTCCCAAAAACTCCAGCAAATTTTTTGATAGGATGGCCCAGACCTGACACCAGCCTCAGGATGGGAAATACAAAAAGGACAATTGGCCTTGAGCTTAGGGCTACTGTGTTCTTTCACTTTTGTCCTACACAGTGTATTTATTTTTCTACTTTTACTTGGCCCAAACTTGCTCTGCAGAGCCTGTTTCTTTCCCTAACTTCAATAAATGTAAAACCTTGCTACTATTTGTACTTGTCTTGACCAATTCTTTGTTAAGAAAGAACCTAGAAACCACCTCTAGGAGGCTCCAGCACCCCAAAACCCAGTAACAAGTTGATCTGATCCTCTTCATCTGAGTGTGCCCCCTCCAGCTACTCAAGCTGGAGTCTTTTTCCTATCTTCTCTCTTACTTTCCAGTGAAAGCTTTTGCCTGTAAATTACACTGTCACTTTAGTTTTAATTTCCATTTACTTTCCACTAAAGCAAGGGTCCACTTTAGTCAGTGGCAGTTAGGCTAGGCTACTGAGATTATGGGTAAAATTTACTGAAAGGTAATCATGACACTCTTTTCCCTGATATTTCATACAGTAGGATCCCTGAGAAATACAACTATAAGAAGCCAGCCCATCTGCCCTCTGAAGAACTTCAGGGCTGGAAGAGATTACTGTCATCATGTTATAGCCACTTAGGTTCATAGGCTCAGGTTTGTTTGCTTGCCATTGACCAAATCAAAGGAGGCCATATATTTTGGTAGAAAAGAAAAAGAATTTATTCAAAGCTAGCTCTGAGGAGATGGAGGGGCCCATTTGCCTCAAATCTGACCTTATACAGGTGGGTAAGAGTCCTTCATAGAAAAGAACAGAGGGGAGGGGGAGCACAGAGAGACAATGCAGATCTCCACACCTGCTTTATCACTGCTAGCCATCTTTGATTCTTTCCTCTTTCTTGCGGGGAGGAACCTGTGCTCAGGCCTCCTGGTGCTCTGCACATTCTGTCACTTAGGCTGAGGGGAAGAAGTGCTAGTTATGTGCTCAACAGGAGGAAGTTTAGAGAAATTGCTTATCTCTAAAAGGAAAAATCTAACTTTTAAAGTTTCATTTTGCAATAATAACTAACTCCCCTTTTCATCCTTGAGGCTTTTACAAGATCCTTGCTGCCCTAGAATGGAAAAAATGGGCTCCATTTCCTGACAGTTTGGCATGCTGTAGGGTTTCAGCTAGCTCAGTGGGATGACAGCAGTAAGAATACAGCAGATAAATGCACACTGACCTTCCTTAGGCCAGAGTCTGCTTTGAAGGGATGAGGTAAAAAGGGGTAGGGACATATTGGCTACACAGAAAAAATTACGTAAAGTGAATAGGCTGAAGCTAGATTAAATCCATGGGACATGCCATGTGCCTGAAGACCAGAGAGATGGTTCTAGAAGTAAAGAGGAAAACTAGATCCTCATAGTTTTTTTTTACCCTCAGAAGATTTCTAGGGAAATAGCTGCACATATCCCACAATATAAAGAATTACAAATTCCTTTCCTTTAGGATATTAGCTTATGAGTTGAGATGAAATCCAGATCCCTTCAAAGACAATCTTAAACTAGTTTTGAGTTCTGCAGACTGAGAGTCTGGCCTCTTGCTCTCTTTTCCAACTTTCATCAATGTCTTCCCAGGCTGGGTTCTTGGCTGGAAACACCTCCAATTGGGATCCAGTTTCTCAATTTAATTCTTGCCCTTCAGATGTTGAAACAAGTTATGAATAACTTTTAGGTTCTTAAGATTAGCATTAGATTTATAAATCTGTAAAAGATGTCAACAAGGTCTTCTTCCAGTTATTCTCTATGTCCCTGATCCTGTCTGAAGAGTTCATTAATTTTTGTCCTGCTTAGATTGTCAGTTCCCTGATAGCAAGATTCCATAAATATGTCTCACAATTACTAGAAATCTTCATAAATCCTAAAAATAGATTTCTGTGATCTTTTTTCTTCATTCTAGATCCCTTCTTGACATAACCCTTGATTCTGCTCTGTTGGTAATGCCTAGCCATGAATCCACCAGCTCTCTATTCTGGACACTGGTCCTGAAAGATTTCAGGTGTATCCTTTAGTGAGGAGGCTTCTGTACCTGCCCTTCTGTAAGAAATCCTGTAAACAAAAATGATAAATCACTTCAGGAGACAAGTCTCAAATGGTGTGTCAGATTTCAGGCTTCTGCTGTTTTAATGAAGGAAATTCAAGGAGGTCATCGCTCATAAGCAGAGACCCAAGGCAGGAGGCTACAGCAGCACTGCTACACAAAGAAACTTGTGCAAACAAGTGACTTTTCCCACATGCTGAGAACTTAAACTTCAGGTCTGGCTAAGACCCAGACATTTTAAGGAGATGACCAACAATTTCTATTCTGCATTTAATGTGAAAATGCTAATTTCACTTGATAAAGAGAAGTGCTAAAATAGTATTCTTCATTCTTGTAACAGTAAAAATGTAGGAGTATGAAATTTGTAATGTTAGAGACAAATTATGCATGAAATGCAACTATCACAGCAGAGGGGGCTGAGTATCCAGAAGACAGCTGAAATTCTCCAAAACAGTTACAATGGCTAGACAATTTAGGTGACTAAAGGGCCCCAGTGTTAGGGAAAAAATGAGTGTAATAAGAGAGGATGTAGAGGGAGGAGGAGGTAGTCTGAGGTTTGTGATTTCTCCTCAGCTCTTCTCAGGAGGCTGTTTATAGATCTGAATATTTACAGTAGTGAATTCTCCTACCACTGTATATGTAGTTGAGACCTAGTTTAATAACTATTTACTGGGGCCAGGGATAATACAGACTGCTGTTTATGATGACTGTGACAATTGGAAGACCTGAGAGTCTGCAAATCTGATTGCTTCAGTCCACTGTTTTCTAGTGCAGAAAGAATAAATTTTATTCATTGGTTGGCTTGTGGCAGGACCCTTCCCCAGAGGAATGTGGCTGGGACCCCTCCTGAAGGAATGTGGTGGAGGACGGAGCCAAAAAAGACAACAAAGGCTGTTAGTTCCTAGATATTCATGTGTAGTTCTAGCACTGCTCTGTAACATAGATTGTACCAAATCAGGCTGTAGTGTGTTAGTGTGTTACCATTATTGGAAGGCAAAAACACAAAAATTGTATAAAAGGAAAACCCCACCATGTTTGGGTCTTAGCCTTTTGGGTATTAATCCACTGAGCCCCATGCCAGCACAAATAAATGCTACTTCCTGCAAAAAGCCTCGGTGTCCTGCCTCTCTCTGTGAGAATCCTGCTATGTGCTCTTTCCATTCTTTCAGTTTTTCCATAAATATTTATTGGGTGGGTGCTGGAAATAGGGCAGCACAGAAAACAGGCAAGGGAGTCCCACCCACTTGGGATTTATAGCTTGTGGTGGAGATAGATGATAAGCAAACAATTTAAATTAAGTATTTTGAAAATAAATGAATGTGAAAATTTTTTTCATGGACATCCTAAACCAAATCATATATTCAAAATCCAGCAATATATTCCTATAGTCATTTCCACCCATCTGGCTGAGGAGATTCCCCCAAACAGAAGATGAGGACTTCAACTCACTTCCTTCATAGAAAAATAATTTTTAATTTAACATGTCAGTGAGAGGCATGAAGAGGTTTATTGAGCAGAATCATAAAAGTATACACTAAGAGAGAATATCATTTGAACCCTCAGTGGAGGGGCACATTATGGTCAGGGGCTGGCGGCTTATATGTGGTCTTGTATCTTCAAGATGGGAGATCTAGGATGTCAGGTTACCCATCTAGTAGGCTATCATTTACATGTGTTCGAAACTGGAATGTGCGCCCATTTTCTGCAGAAAGAAGCACAATTTACAGGTGAAAAGCATGGTTCCAGAGCCAAATTTATAGGCTTTATTGTGTCTTTAAGACACTTAGGATTTTTGGGGGGAGGGCATGACTTTCCTGGAAGAGAAGAGACTTGAGAAACTTTTGTGTCCTGAAATTGCAGTTTTTCTTAAAAGTACAATTTAAAATTTATGATTTTCCTTGTCTCCTTTCTAGTTATTTTCATTTTTTTCCATCCTACCTCACTACCACATTGTGACACCTGAGTTTTGGAGGAACACATTCAAATCATAACATTCTACTCCTGGCCTCCCCAAATTTATATCCTTTTCACATAGACCGTGCATTCACTTGATCTCAGTAGTCCCAAAAGTCTTTTAATCTATTCTATCATCAACTCAAAAATCTAGTCCAGAGCCTCACTTAAGTAACATATGGGTGAGACTCTAGGGTGTGTTTCATTCTGAGGGAAACTGCTCTCATCTATGGGTCTGTGACATCAAGTAAATTATGCATTTTCAAAATACCTTGGTGGGACAGGCATAGAATAGACATTTCAATTCCAAAAGAAAGAAATAGGAAGATTGGGCTGGCCCATTAACAAAAGAATGGGGCCAGTTTTTATGGGGTTTGCTGGGGTGGGCTAAGGTCTGGTTGGTTATTATCTGAGTTCTGGTTCTGCTAGTTTGCTCCACAGAAGTCTTTATTTCTTGAGGATAAATCTGATTCCCATGAGATGGTTGCTTCCTTCACTCTACTCCATCCTTATTGAGTTCATGAGTAGGCACAATATATCACGTAAGTAGTTAAGATCAGAGTGAATTCTGGGACAGGCATGTGTGTTGAGAGCCCCTAAGATGACACAGCACCCTGTCAACCGTTCTTGTCAATCATAGATAGAGATTCAGGGGAGGCACCTGGCTTGAGGTGCACATCCTTACCCTTGGGCATCATGGCAATTTTGTGTTAAAGGAGCATACTGAAGAGTTAACAAAAGGCACATCTAGGGCTGGGGATTTAGCTCAGTGATTCCGCCACCTGCCTCACAAGTGCAAGGTCCTGAGTTTGATCCCCAGTACCAAAAAAAAAAAAA